GAGGGCCCCATGGACCCAGGATTCCTCTGATGACGAGAGGAAATTGTGAATGAGTATCCAGGGAATATAGCATGATCACCTATTTGTTTGAATCAGCATTACTCCCCAAAGTTTCTTAAATTGTAACCACAAAGAACATGTCCCTTTAGAGTATTTGCAAGGTGTGCCACTCTGCTTGACGTGTTTATCAATTACATTCGAAAAACTGCAGGCCAGAAATTCTGCAATCAGAAAGTCAGGAGTTAATGATGTCGTCACTGATGGAGTTCTTAAGCAAAACCATCAAATATAACGTACTGGAAATAGTATCTCTCCTAATGTACTTAAAAGCATATATATAGTAAAACCTGTGAAAGCCAGAACCCGTGTACGGCAGAAATGTCTCAGAAAAGGGAAAAGGCATAACAGAAAAGTGGTAAGACTGTATTTTGTCAAAAGTGAAAACTTGAGAGACCTGGAAGAAACAAGGAAATCCATTGAATACTGGGTCTGGGGATTTCGCTGACAAGCTTGGAAAACTCTGAATGAAAACCTTCAGCTTTGTCTTGCACTGACCCACTGAGGGAAACCCTCGCACAGTGACCCTGTAGGACAGAACATAACAACTCCAAGACTCTCAAAGTTACAAAAGGCTACTGCCTCATCTTTCTCCCACTGGTGGAGTCGAACTTCTGACCTTTCAGTTGGCAGCCCAATCATTTCGCCCACTGTACTATCAGAGCTCCTTGTTTTGTACTACCGTAAGGCTAAAGAACCACAGGCACCTCTTCAGTTTCACCCACAAATTCAAATTACAGACACACTTAGGAACAGAGCTCCATCCTAACTCCGGACCCACCTGTAAGTCCAGACCTGTGAACCAGGTCATACAATCTCAAGGTGCTTGCCACTGACCCAGCTCAATGAGGTCTTGTGTCCAAGCTGGAGAGCACATGTTAAGATCCGGTGACATACAAGAGAACATGCAGAGGAGGATGTCACATGACAACCTGCCTCAGGTGGGCCAGTCAGGGCAACGAAGGATAAGGGACTGGAGGAGAGAGGACGCAGTGTGCAGGGTTTGCTCCGGAGACCAAGACTAAGGAACGCCTGACTTATTCTTTTTATGGCTCGGATGATTTTAGTCAACAGTCAGGGCCTCTTCCTGATGCAACCTGGCCACTCGTCCCATCGTCCACGGCCACTGCTGTTCCCACAATCAAAACGATCTTCAAGAGACACTTCTCAACTTCTACCGTGCGTCACAGCTGGGGAGCGGCTCGCCTTGGGGGCTACTGTCACCTTCGATTGCTCTCTCACCCCATGACCCTGGGATCTGTCACTCAGCATCCTTTCCAAGCTTCTTGTCCTTTAAATGCCAGTGTCCCCAGGACTGTCCCCCTTCTCACCACACACGTTCCCTGGTGATTGGCTGCTTTCGTGTCTATATCCAACTACCCATTCGACATGTCCCCTTCTGTATGTAGACACAAAACAAAAATTACAACAAAAGTTCAAGCTTTAAAATATGGAGAGACTCCTCAAGGTTGATGTCTCTTGATTGTATCACCAACGCTGCCTTGCTCCTTTAAGCCAATCACTCTTTTGTTGTGATTGACTATTGTACGGTACCAGCATCCACAATCGAACGGGTCCAAGGGGCAGTTATGTAATTGAGGAGTAAAATTAAAGAGACATCAGACAAGATACAGCATGCAAATACTCACTTCCCAGATGCCCACGATCTCAGCAGCATATATTATGGTGGGTGGTGGGGGTGGGATAGGGGGCAACCTGGGGAATACGTTTTCGAATCCCCACAGAGTATTTTGTTCCCAAGGCTGGTCCATCTTATTTTGCCCAGAGGAAAAATTAATAAGGGATAGACAT